AAAAAAATTTGGGGGCGTTTTTCACAGCTGACTACGACCGAGAACTCAAAGCAAGCAAAATAACATTTCGTTAGAATTACACATTATATAGAAGACCGCTTCGGTTGACGATTTCTTTGAGCTGTCAAGTAAATCTGTCAAGTCTTCAGTGCGCGTTGTGCAAGGGCGTATAACGCATGCACTTCGTGTTGGGCACGTGATTTGCGTTGGGTTCAATACGCAATCGTTCAGTCCGGATCATCACGTAACACTGAACTTTCCACATTTGGTGATAAGAAACCGGTGAAATGCTTCAGGAAAGATTTAACGCACAACTTTCACTGAACAAAATTTCAGTTGGTGTTGGTGGAATCTGCATTGATCGTCAGATCAAAGCAGACTCAATGGTCACTTTGTGATGATCGTGTGCTCCGTATTTGGAAGAATGCCATAAACTTTGATTGTACAACAAGGACGACGGCAAAAGACTGCAAAATAAATTTGTAAACTACTGGGTTTTGCCACAGCTTGGCAGTCTTGAACGCGAACACTCATGTGATTTTTTCCGTTCCCCCGAATCAAAACTACAATGACTTGGTTACCTTACTGAATTAGAAAAATTCTTCTTTTCCGACATGTGTCATGCGCTAATGAGCGTATCAAATGACGAAGGCTTGCCTCTTGTACCAAAGCAGCGCGAGGAAAAAACGGTATAATTTATCTGTATTCTACGTAGTTTTCAGGGATATTTTAAGAAAATGTAACAATCTGGATATCTGGTTTTGTGATCTTTCCGTTGGTCCATGGAACGACCAGAGTCAAAGCAGAAAGTTCGGTTTAGGCATGCATGTAGTAGATCGATCTGTTCATGGGGTTTCATCAGAGGGATTTCATAAAACTAGACTACGTTTAGCGTAGTTTCTCTGCCTAGGGATAGTGTCTTAAGTGTCTTTCTCATTACCCAGAGCTACACGAGATCACACTAGTACGAAACGAATGAATAGAAACTAAACAAGAGATCGAGCGATAGGGATCCTCGGATCAGTTGCCTAGAGGAAGTTGTTACTACATTATTCTCTTACGCTAACTCTTTCGATCAATCTATGGTTAAAACAAAATGCGGAAGTCAAAAATGATTTATGTTAAGTGGTTCCCTGTAGATTCTGTGCAATGATTGTACTTACCGCGTCGCCCGTGCTTGCTAACTGTCCTTGGCAAACACTAACAATAATGCTTTGCTCTGTGAGGTTTCTCTTTAGGGTCTCCGATTTCGTTCTAGGGGTCATGTTATTTCTGTATCCAGTTACAATGATAATACCAAGCCGATTGCGCAACGACGTGCCTAAACTACAAAAGGACGCCCGCTGGGAAGCGAGCTTTCCAAAAGTTAGAGGGGAGGGAGAGGAAAAGGGAATGAAAAGGGAAAAGCTTCTCTCCTCCTCCCGTCTCCCCTCCCCTTAGGAAGGCCTGAGACTCAGGCCATCTGCTGAGAGAATGTAGTGTCAAGCTCAAAATAGAAAACCTCTCGTCAATAATTGTTTCGATTGATTAATGTTTCGTTTGAAGTTAGTTAGGGGAACTTGTTGCCTTCATACGTTTGCTGAGGTGCCCAGACCATAATTTACTTCCAAGTAGGCCTGTAAACTATCAGTGATCATCACAAATTCGGTTTTCTTAGTCCGTCGAGCGTGGCGCGAAAAAACGCTCGTGGGAAAGAAATGGCCGTGCGCGCGAGGTCCATCTCGCCCTCGCGCGCGCAACTCATAGTCTACATAGGACTTGGGGTTACGAAAAGAACTTCCAGAAGATCACAATTGCTTTACGTACAAGGTATTTTGTTCTAGCTGTGGAATAACTGTAAGATCCTTTCTGGAGGATGTACTTAAAATCAGAAGGATATTATATTTTTGGCTTTCTATAGGTCTTATAGATTTTCTCCAGTCTTGTCCGCGTGACTTACATAAACACTGTTAATTATCATGGAATAATAGAAACATATGTTTTCGTTCTTGTTGTTCATACGCAAACGCATTATTTATTATTCATATAAATCACAGTCCAAAATCTACCAGGACTAAACATAAAAAATTTTACCGTAAACGTTACATCGACGAAAATCTAGATAAGAAGTCCATAGTGAATCGCCTTTTATTATTCGTCAACTTACATGTTACAGAAGATTTTTCATTAAGATTAGCATAAAGCAATGCCTGTCATACAGACGGTTCAGGGGCGCATTCAGGCGGGGGGGAGGGGGTGGGGGTTGGATTGGGTGGCTAGCCAACCCCTTTTTGCAGAACCAAAACTCAAAAAGAAAAAAATTGAAAAAGCTTGTGAATATTATGGCAGAAATAAAGGCAAAGACTCTGGTCAGGTAGCTCATTGTAATTTCTAATTCTATTTCTCAGATTGCAACATTTTGGGAACATACCCCATTAATTCTGCAACCCCAAGATACGAGCTACCCCCCTTGAAAAATCCTGGTTGTTAACGGAGGCTTGAGTGCTGGCACTGGGGGCGCGCGAGAAAAGGCAAAGGGTTGGGCTACGTTTAAGCGTAATACCCAGACTGCGCAAAGTCCACAGTTTCACAAGCTTAATAATGCAATCTTATCATCTCAGTAAGCTCGAAACGTCTACATATGTTACAGGTGGTCCACAGCACCCGAGTCTTGGCAACATGACGATCGCAATGTCTGCCCTATGCTATCTCGGAATTTCTTATACAATAGGAAGTAAATAATTGGGTTATAGCACACTGATGTTTTAGCAAACATAGAAGGTATGGTGGCTACAAATGGGGAGATATTTTGCGGCGTAGTTATGATACTGTACAACGAAACCACCGCATACGGCGTCCATGCAAAAACGAAACAAATTGACATAATGAAAGCCATGCGAGCTGTCTTCTTTTCGGCTTGTATGGCTTGTACTGTGGGAGCAGCGCGCTTCCCCCATATGACATGCGCATTTTGGGTCAATTTCTTCAAGCTGTGGTAAATCGAAGAGTACGCAGTTATCATGGCAACGATGGGAATGAAAAAGAAGAAGAAAAATAAACATACTACGAAAACCATATCAAGTAGATCGGACGATTGCCAGCGAACTGAGCAGTATACGCCTGCGCCCTCGGGAACGTATGCTGACCAACCAAACAGCGGGCAAAGGCTCCAAAGCAAAGCAAAGGTCCAGAGTCCACCGATAGCAAGGTTGATTTTTCCTTTAATGGAGATCCAGGCGTGGCAGTAATTAATTGTGATGGCTCGCTCGATTGAGAAGGCAGCATGGTGAAGAATGACGCCGAGCGATAGAAAACACGTGATGAAGGCGTACCACGTGCAACTCGCACCTACCATGCGCCGACTTTGTGACGTATTGCTGACAATTCCCAAGGGATAAGCCAGCAGCGAGTGTAACCAATCACCGGTGGCTATGCTAAGAATCAGCCTGTTGGAAGACGTACGAAGGCTGCGGTCCCTCACGAATGCGACAATAACGAGTGTGTTCAGACTGATTCCTGTGACAGCGAGAAGAGCGTACACACCAGCGATGACGTAATAAACCGGTTTACTGAAGACCTCCCCAGGTTCCAGTCCTTCGCTCTTGTTTTTGAGGTCCGACATTCCTTTTTTTTTCGGTGGAATATTAACGTCGAGTTCTAAAGGATCAAGAGAGAAAGAGTTAATTAAAAAAAATTGGGGCAAGTTTCCGGCTCATTTTAAAAGAGAATCGAAGCAATGAATAGAGTTAGTATTGTGAAAACGGGTTTTGTCGTTCTGAAATCTAAATGGGGGGAGCAGGTATTGAAAGGCCTAACTGGCTGGAAACTTGTGCGCTTGACTCTAGGAAATTAACTTGACTCGAGAATTAGCTCGGAGCAACTCGCTTGCTGCGGGAGAGAACTTGTCACGGGTTGCAAAGTACCCGGTCGGATCTGCTACAGCTGGAAATAAGGACACTCAGAGAACTTGGACTTCACGCGCTTATTCTTCTTTTTTCAACTTCAACGAAAATCGTGTATGAAAATCGTATTACGAGGATAATAGAGCACTGAATCTAAATACACTTTCAGCAAATTAAACTTTAGATCATACACCTGAATAAATAACAATTTGCATGCGCCGTGCGGGTTAAATAGAATCATCTTAACTATGATAAACTGAATAGATGTATTTGTCGCTGAACGAACTGAAATGATTCAGCGAAGGAAACTCAATTGACTTAACACAGCTTTCTAGGCAGGCTATTTGTACGAAAGATAATTTCTAAAACACCAAAAGTCCCACATATACTTTTTTATTATATGGAGAAGAGTGTTTTACTGGGAACTAAACCACTCGTAGATTCCATACGCCACTTCATCCGGGACCCGAGTGGCGTATTTTCCGTATG